CAGAGCCGATTAGTGCATTGCTCAAACCAGTACAGGAAAACAACTGCTTTATCATGTCTGAGCGTTCTTGAAGTTTTGCCCATGCATGTGTTACCCAGACAACAATTTCCTGTTTTGATGCTGTCTTTGGTCATTGATAGGGTTGTCATTTTTCAACTGCATATCAATGAAGTCACACCACTCCTTTCTGAGGTATTCTTTAAACGGTTTATTGATGAAAACAACAAGTGGTAGGACTTTGGACGTGCATCCTTCTGGTATTACGGCACGATAAGTATCGCTTGACTGAAGGCAGTTGATAACTGACTCCTCGAGGTGGCCATGGAATGAATCAAAAATCAGAAGGGATCTTCGACTTTTGTATGTATGGAAGCCAGAGTGAGATACATTTCAGCCAGATTTTCTGCATCTCGGCGTCACACTAGCCGTTTTTCTGCATCTCAACCACCATGCCTTTTAGGTACATTGAGCTTCAGTTTTCTCACTTCTTTTAAAAATTATCATAGGAGAAAGAATTACGCCATTAGCGAGAATGGTTAAAATGGTTACGCTAGAGTGATATGTTCGGCTACAGGTCAAAGTATGCTAGAGTCTCATCAATACTACTAATGAGTTCAAGTGGAAGGTTATATTTGTGTCTTGGTTCAACAATAAATTGAAAAAAACAATGTGATTTTCTCCTCCAATTTGGCAGGTAATTGCAGTGCTATGGATGTGTGGCAACGAATTGACAAAGAATGTTGGCACAAGAATCGGCTAACCCACCCTGTTGAGGCTTTAAAATCAGGATTGTATTCATGGATAAGTTCCTTCACTTTCTGCCGAAGCATATTTGTTGTCACTAAGATTTGATTGTCCCTGAGTTCTAGCACCCACTTCACCAGCTTGTCATCTACACAATGTCCTCCCCAGGATTTTGTGGCCCAGTTGCGGGCTAATTTGCATAAATTAACATATTAATCAGCATACTAATTTACATAAAGTGCTCACACTTCCAAAAAGTTAACACAGTGCAAGATATATGATTCTTGTTTTTCAATTTTATTTTAAGTACACTTAATTCATATACATTATATACAAGTTATTCTTCAGGGTTCTCCCCT